AAACCGGATATTGTTTGCTTAAGCGGGGTTTGAAACTGCTTGTGAATATTACACCCAGGTTAAACATTATAGCCAGTCCAGCAAAACTGGTTGTTGCAATATAATGTTCTCCCCCCTTTTAGCAAATAGGGAAAGTGAATTTCAAGATATTTTTTGGAAAATATTTAATTTTTGCAATATTTACAGTCAGATTTATGAAAAATAAATAAAGGAACTGAACAAATTTGACACGTTTCTATTGGAACTTTAAATTTTGGATACATGTGGTTACCATTATGCTTTAAGTAAGAAGGATGATTGGCCATTTTTCCACAGTCTAAACACAACCTATTACAGTCTCCAAAAGTCTCATAGTAGTTTAGAGTTATGTAGCCACAATTTTCTCGATGATAATTTAAAATGTCCTGCCTTAGTGATGATGGAAAGTTTGTAATTTCTTTTACATAAGGTAAAAGGAAGACATTTATGCAAATCTTTCTAATAGAAAGCTCGTATAAGGACAACATGATACAGCGGAGGCTAGCTATAGAGTAACATTTCAATATTTAAATCTGTTTTTAAATACGCAAATAAGTTATTATCATGAGCATGGCACCAAGGATGCACATGGTACTTGGATTAACAGTTCATTATGCAATCAAATTTTTCACAAACGTTTGCAAATAAATTAAATTATATTTAAAATTGATGCAACAGAGTAAATTGATGATAAAACCAAATTTGGGTAAACAAAGTCTCCCAAAGGTCAGAAAATCCTTGACAACCTAAGATTGTTACAATATTCTGCTGCCCTGATAATAAAAACAATAAAATGTCCATTAACTTTGATAAACTGATATTAACTTCAATATATTCATATTAATTTGGAAAATTTGATTTATGAAATCTGATGTTATTGTAATTAAATTTGATAGCGAATGTATTCCTATTTTAATGTAATCCTAATAGAGGAATATTTGATACATACACAAAACTCAAATGCAAAACCTTTGTATATTATTAATGGATCATTCTTGTTATAAATGGTTGGTTAGAAGCTATACAGAATTGTGGAGTAATTAAACTCAATTTCTAAGTTATTTTTTAATGATTTTATTTTTTATCCTTTTGGATCTTCGTAAGGCTGGTGTTTCGTGGTTGGTAGCTAGAAAAGATTATAAATAATTGTTAGTTGTTAAAATATTAATGAAACACTCTAATGAATTAGTATAATTAAATAACTTATATTTAAACTTGTTTAAAAGAAAGCTTAATTACAAAATCACCTTTTTATGGGTTTCCTTATTTTTATTAATTGGTAAATCTTAGGGGTATCAGGCTGTAAACTTTTGTTTATTTGTTTATACTCAGCTTCTGGGTCTCTTGATGTAATTAACAGGTTGTTTAGGAGTCAAGTACATGTACTCAATGATTTCCTCATCATATAATCAACCTTTTGCTTATTTTCAAGCTTAAAACTGCTGTAGGAGTGTAATGTTTCAATGACATTAGAACTTTTAAAGACCGTAAGTTTATAAAGATTTTATCTTCCAAATACAATTTATAATATGTACTTACAGTGACATTTTTTATAAATATTTAAAAAATTGCTCATGCCCTTTCTTTATAGTCTGCGGATGAGTTATTATTCATTTTTCTAAAAAATAAAAATAAGTTTATAAAATATCCAATTAAATACTGTAAATTAAAAATACCATCAAAAAGCTCTTTTAATTACAGAAATAAAATAAATACCCTGCTATATAAATGAAATAGTTAATAAAGTTTATTTTATATTATATGCAGTTAATTTGATTTTTATAAAATTTATTTTTATAAAATATTTTTTATTTTTTTTCTCAATTCAGGAATTATTATTTTTGAATAAATATAAACAAATTATTTGTTGGATAAATTTATTACAATTGTAAATTTAAATGATTTTATGGAAATATAGGGTTTTGTTAAATTTTTATTGTAACTGATTATTTTGAGGGTTTTAAAATTGTTCTTACCCCATAAATTATAAGTTTTTGTTCAATAATGAAAGCCTAAATCAAATGAATATATGAAATAATATGTATGTATTTTATAAAACTGTTTAATTGTGTTGGTATAAACTATATCTACTTTTTGTTAAGAATTATATCCTAGGTTCCCAACATGTTTGTAATAAACAAAAAAATTGTTTTGTGAAACATTATGAATGCAAGAATCAGCTATAGCTTTTGTATAAACATAAAAACGAGTTTTAGATAAATATACTGTACACACAAATAAATACACTGCTGTTTGAGTGCTCAGGTAAATTTTAGAATGGATTTATTTAAAAGTTTTATTATTACTCATGATATGAAAGTTGAATTTGAAAATGTGTAAAAAACACGATGATTGTTTGAATTTCAGACTCCAATTTAAGTAGATGGTGTTTTTATTTGAATGTGGATAAGTGAACAGAATTCAAAAAGAGCATAACATATATAGACAACAAATTTTATAAAAGATCCAATTACCAATATTAAATGATAATGATAATTAAGTGACAGTTTTTGTATTATTTGCAGGTAAATGGAGTTTATACTAGACTTCCAGGGATTCAGAAATGAGGAGAACAAATTTGTTATTAAGGAGTTGGCTATTATATCTACAGATGGACAAATTTATGAGTTCCAACTTTTTTTACCCCCTTGTAGTATACATAGTTTGTCAAAAGAAACAAGAAAACATATTCATTGGGTTGAAAAACATCTTCATGGTTTAAATTGGAGTTCTGGGTTCAAAGAATATTCAAAAATAAAGGATATTTTCAGATATGTTGATATAAAAGGAACTGTATATGTAAAAGGTGCAGAAAAACAATCATTCATAGCGCAACTTCTATCAGAGTTTAATGTTACAGTGGCAAATCTAGAAGATTTGGGATGTCCAAGTCTATCTGTGTTGAAACAACAAACTCATTTAAGTTCGTATAAGCCTTGCAGTTTTAACCATCCTTCAACCAATTGCGCATACATCAACGTTTATATATTATTACAATGGTTAAATATTGAAAACAAGTTGGTTTCTAGCCATGTTATGAATACTGATGAAGCTATTAAAGAATGGAGTCAACGAGGTTACCAGATGCAAGATGAATTAATTAAGTATTTACCCAAAGAGTTTATAATCAACCAAATACCGCATATAGAACTTATTTATCAAAAGCTTCCATTACATGTGCAGACGGATCCTGACATCATTGAGAATTTGCGTTGTCAAGAACATTATGCTGTAACGGGGGATGTAAATGATGGACCTAATATTAAAAGAAAGTTCTGCTATTTTTGTAGAAATGGGGCAACCTTTGACGTTCACAGCAAAACAGCAGGGAAGATACCAGCCCATTTCAACACTTCATAAGAGCATAGAGAAATCTTCATATTCATCAGCATCATGTTCTTCAAGTGGAGTTAGCTTGTGTTGTGTTTTTGTCAAATTTTAAAAAGGTGATTTAGCTAAATCTAGATTTTATCGGACTAAAAAATTATTTCCTAGGTTCTAAGTTTGTAATAACAAAAAATTTGTTCGTGAAAAATTATGAATGCAAGAATTAGCTATAGCTTTTGCATGAACATAAAAACCATTTTTAGATAAATATACTGTATTGTTAAACTAGTATTGTTAAGGTTTTTGATAAAAAAAAAGATCTGGCAAAAATGCCATATTGCAAGCAGCAGCATCTTTACAAACTGTTAAATTTGTAATAACCAAACTTATCTGGAAAATGTCTTATGTGAAAAATTGATGATTAAATTAAACTATCACTTCTAAAACTATTGGGAAAAAATCAACCTTTAAGAATCATCTCTAAGAGGTGGAAAATGCATGAGTAATCTGTGCTTTCTCAAACCACTTCTCAAACATGGGCTGTTAAGACACTATCAGTCATTGAGAAACCTAGAATGTTATTGTAGGTTTCCAAACTGAACGTAAAGATAAAAAAATAATAAAAATGCACTCTACTAACTCTTGTTTACATTCTCTCATAAAAATTAATTAACATGTGTTTAATTATAATCAAGCATTCTAATACACATTAATATTAACATTTGCTAACAGCCGGCAATTTAAAACCAATATAAATTAAACCATTGATTAAAAGAAGTAACCACCTCAGCATATATAACATGACCCATTGAATGGAAACAAAGCTTTGTTATATGAATACTATGCAAAGTTTCAATCTTCTTTCTATGCAGGAAGTGATGATCAACCATGTGTAAGCAAAAAAGATTTCATCAAGAGTTAACCATTATTTGTATGTGATTGTTCTAAACAATCTGAATCTTTAAAAAGTGGCACAATTGATGTACGTCTTGAAATTGAAACTACAAAAACAGTTCCTACGAATACTGCTGCATGTTGTTTGATGATAAGTAATGGATTAGTGTATTACTCTCTATTGTCAGAAACTGTCAAAAAAGTTATGTAAATAGTGTATTAAAAAATAAACCTTGTTTTTAAAAATATGTTGTTATATGTTAGCTTCTTCCATTATAATTAGGAAAATTAAAAATCTTGTGATGGATCATTGGAGAAAAACTAAAATAGTGTTGAATGCAAATGCCGAGATATGAGTGAGCAGCAATTAGGGATTTCCAAGTGCAGGATGAGAATAAAATCTCTTAGAGTCTCTTAATTTTGGAATTACATTAAACAATTGTTCTACTGAGTTTAATCCAAGAGTAAGAATTATTAGGTTTTATACTATATGCAGTAGAATTATCATGTCCACTGTAGATTTTACAACACTCTCTTAAACTGGCTATCTAGATGGTGTCTAAGGGCTCATGACAGCAAATATATAAAAACATAATAATACTAAATTTTTCATTTTTATTTACAATAGCATTCCACGAAATAGTAAATTTTTTTATTTTTTTTTAACCTTGGGTTAAAAATTTTCTTAAATGAAGTTTACATTCTCACCACCTACCCACTATTAAATTTATAACAGTTCTAGGAAAAGAAAATAGTTTATAGCATTTTAAACTGCATTTTTAATAATTTAACTATGTACATACCTGATTAATTGAGGGTTTAGCTAGAAGTCTGGAAGATGGGTGGTTAAAGGGTAAGGCCGGAGGTTGAGCAAAATTTACACACGCAGATTCCTGAAACCATAACAGTAAATTAGTAAGCTGTAATCAATACTATATACTAGTTTAGTTTATATTCAAACCAACTTAGATGGCTCAAACCTTTATTAAGCTGAAATAAATTAAGCTCAAGTATTGAATTTTAAATTCAGCAATAATAAAATATATATTTATGTCGCAGGGATGTGAGATACAAAAATTATTGTTATTAAGATATTTTAATACTCATGTTATGTTACATGGTAGTCAATTGTAAAACAAAAGCTGGTATCTATTGTATTTTATCAGGGTAACAGTTTATAACACAATATATGAGTTAAATAAAAAAAATATGTGTTAAAATCCAATACCCATATAATTTTAATGACATTATAGATTTGATATTAAAACAATATAAGTGTTAAAATGTGTGTGATAAAAAACAGAAACATAATGGAATAGAAGTTTACGTAAAAGTAATTACTTAATCATTACAAACTTACTTAAAGTTTTACGGTATAGAGCGTATGGACGTAGTGAGCTAGAGCTGAGCAACAAGATGGTGTAGGATATGTACTGGGCTGGAGCTAAGCAGCAAACTGGAATCAACCAATATTATTAGACCACCATTTACTTTACATTTAAAAATATCAGTTTATTACTAACTAAGAAAATAAAGAAGCTAATCATGTTTCACAGATTTAAACTCTGTGTATACTAAGTTACAAAAATAATGAAACAAATGTTATTCCATAGAAAATCATCAATTAGCATTTTAGAAATATTAATTTGATAATTTAAAAGAATTTACTGTACAACTAGCCTACACTAAAACGTTTAGTAAACAACTTAGCTAACCTAACAAGTCAATATTGTACTCTTTTAATATCTAATATTTAAACTCTGTGTTTACTAAGTTACAAAAATAATCAAACAAATTTTATTTCATAGTAAAAACATCTATTAGCATTTTAGAAATATTCATTTAATAATTTAAAAGAATTTACTGTACAACTAGCCTACACTAAACCTTTAATACACCACTTAGCTAACCTAACAAGTCAATATTGCACTCTTGCAAAGTTAGTTTAACAAATATTCTTCAATAAGCAATCAAACAAGTATAATATTAATATCAAGTATGGTGTTTATATTGTACAGCTAGCATACGCTTAGAAATTTGTGTTATTCTTACACAATAAATATAAAACATTTAATTGAAAAATATAAGTTTTTAACTAATTTTCCATCTGTTATTTTGAGTTTAAGTTTTAAAATGGTTAAACAACCATTGGAATTTTAAGTCAAAATATTTCAAGTATTTTAATTTAACAATAAGTCTTATAAACTTACATGCTTGAAGCTTAGAGATGTAGTGAGAGATGATGAACTGGAGGAATTGAGTGTTCAAGCTGAATGTTCCATCTTTTTAGCCACTATTTATACTAACACTCGTGCGTCACTAGATGATTGCTTTTGTGATCAGAGTGCAAATTACATCAGCAAAAGGCTGATGTGAGCAGAGTACAAGTTGCATCAGAGAAGCTGATGTGAGCAGAGTACAAGTTCACTGAAGTAAAATTATTAAATAAACAGAAAATAAGCAAAAATATGTTGGAAAAGTGAGAAACGCTTGAAACAAAAATCCACAAAAATTAAGTAATTTTCCAACAAAAATATTAAACAAAATATTTAGAAAATTCTGAAACAGTTATTACTAAACAAAATATTCAGACAATTCTGAAACAGTAATTACTAAACAAAATATTCAGAAAATTTCCGAAACAGTTATCCGGCTGGCAGAATGTAGTAGGAATATAGTTACAACAATATCGAACTGTATAAATCGATTTTCGAAATTAATATCGATATATCGAATCGAACTAAATGCCGATATATCGAAGTTAACAGATGTTTTTACTGTTTTGGGTATCAGGGCAACAGAATGTTGTAGCAATCTTTAGCTATCAGCGGCGCGCTGACCCTCGGGTCACCATGTTTGATTACCAATCACTCATTAGCGCATTTGCCAACTTCTGTACTTCTGTGGAAAATTTTGTTGCACAGTGGACTGTTAACACCACGTGCGTCCTTTACAACATGCTCGTGATTATCACTCATTTGCGTCAGCCAAAATTATGATAGATTGGGTATATTACTTGATGTCTCTGTTCAATCAAGTTGTGGTTTTGTGCTAGCTTCAGTGAGCATCTCCTTCCACTAACTTGGTGAGTAAAACACAATTTAAGAATTAGAATCATTTTGAAACTTAAATATTTTTTAAACCTTAACTTTTTGAAATTTATACTTAAAATTAATTTTGTTTCTCCCAATAAATTCTTTAATCGCTTGTATCTTGGAAACGGTAAGAGATAGAGCAAAAATAAGAAAATTTTTAAGAAATTCCACAAAGAAGGTTTATATATATGGGCTATATAATGATATAACTTTTATTCCTCTGGAACGTGTTTGGGCTGGACTTAACTATTGACCTTTGCCCGATGTTAAATATTTCCGTTATTATTTAAGCTATCAAGTTAAAACTTGGTATGTAGGACGGGGGTAGTCTCTAGTTTGTGGTAATGCAAACAAAATTCAGAATGATTGATAAACTTGCACACTGCACACGATCATGTGAATTTTTAAAAGTTGCCTGGCGTTTGCTTATTTACTAACCAATTTATATGAAATTTTGTACATACGTTATGGACATAAAACACAGTTGATCCACATGTAGGGATTTTTAAAATAATTATAAGTGTAAGGTTTTGGGCTTAACTATTCACCTCCACCCAATAATTAATATCTTCATTATTATTTAAACTATCAAGTTGAAATTCGATATATAGGACGCATTTTAAGGTTTAGAATCATTTTTAAAACTTGAATATTTTTAAAACATAAATTTTAGAACTTATACTTAAAATTAATTTTGTTTCTCCCAATAAATTCTTTAATCGCTTGTATCTTGGAAACGGTAAGAGATAGAGCAAAAATAAGAAAATTTTTAAGAAATTCCTTAAAGAAGGTTTATATATATGGGCTATATAATGATATAACTTTTATTCCTCTGGGACGTGTTTGGGCTGGACTTAACTATTGACCTTTGCCCGATGTTAAATATTTCCGTTATTATTTAAGCTATCAAGTTGAAACTTGGTATGTAGGACGGGGGTAGTCTCTAGTTTGTGGTAATGCAAACAAAATTCAGAATGATTGATAAACTTGCACACTGCACACGATCATGTGAATTTTTAAAAGTCGCCTGGCGTTTGGTTATTTACCAACCGATTCATATCCAATTTTGTACATATGTTTAGGACATAAAATACAGTTTACTCGCATGCCAAAATTAAAAAAAAATCATAAATGTACAACTTGGGCTTAACTATTTACCTTCACTGGATACCTAATAACTCAATAACTGTTTGAGCTATAGAGTTGAAATTTGGTATGTAGGATGGAAACAGTCTCTAGTTTGTGTTAATATGAAAAATTAGGACCAACTGCAATGCAACACTGCTTAAACCTCACCAGAGAGGCTGAACGTTGGTTCCATGATAGTCAGTGTTTTTGCTTAGAATTTCGTGTTCCAGAACACGAAATTTTAAACACTAATGCATAATATGTTCAATTATTATTTTTGCTATTGAGTTGCAATTTGGTATGTAGGTTGATGGCAGTCTCTATTTCATTTTAATGTAAAAACAATCTGATTCATGGATAGACCTGCGTGTGTTGCATGCAATTGTATAATTTTTTTAAATTTGCTTCACATGTTGCTATTTACCGACGGATTCATATATTATAGGTTAGGAATAAAATGCAGTATATCCAAGTGTAAATATATTTAAAAGATCATTCGCCCAATTCTTAATAATTCAGTTATTATTTGAACTATCAAGTTGAAATATTTGGTATGTAAGACAGCATCAGTCTCTAGTTCATGTTGATGAAAAAATAGATTGTTTCATATACCTGCGATCGATGGTTTAAATTTTGAAAGTGGTCTCTCATTTGATTTTTCACTTATGAAATTGGGAAAATATAATTGGATTGACTTCATTATTTATCGAAATAGAAATGAAGAGGCTACTAGACACCAGCTGACCGCGACGCTACACTACTCAAGCCTTGTTAGTGGAAATGCACTCGCCTTTTGAAACAAAAAGCTCGGTTCCAGAAGAGACAGTGTTTTTCCAAAAAGTAAGTTCCAGAACATACATTTACTCTCTACTGAGATCATTGGAAAAGTCTATGGTCATGATATCAGAAATCTTTTTTTTCAACAGCCAGCTTTAAAATATCTAAACAACATACAAAAACAAATGAAATAATTCTGTTCATGCAACAATTGTTTTTCAGAATTATTAAAAATTTGGATTCCTTATCAGAATATCTTTTTGCAAAGTGTTATCTTTTTAATTTAACCAATAAAAATAGTTGCTTTCCATATTTCAGTCATATATTTTTTATACAATTGTTTTGGTTGTTGCAGCAATACTATTTGGCTTATGTAGGGTCCTGTTTATTGTATACTTTGAACAAATTAATACCCGAAAGTTTATGTTTATATCTTATTCTTGATCCTCAAATAAACTCACAGTATTTACACCTCGGATGGGGTTTCGCGTTATGTCCAGTGTTTTATACACTAGTTTATGTGGCAGTAAAAGTAAATAAGAATAAAGATAAACAAGAATGACCGTAAAATGGGACGGATACTGCGTCTAACATGTGGATAGGAAACGTAACAAAACAACCCATCATAATGAGACATTAACATTAACCTTGACTATGACAGTAGTAAGCCGGTAGATGACTACCAAGGTCAATAGCCTACTAGATTTACAAGGTGACACATAATACACATTGTTAATGTTTTGTTCAATTAGTAATTATCGTCATGGTAAGTAATATTTACAGAATGTCGAATGGTGCAATTTGATAAATTATAAACACAACGAACAAAATCATTTATTGATATACAATGATATTGGTGTCACCATGGTAAAATTACCTACATCATTTTAAAATCTTTTAAATCCAAAAGACCTAGTTTATTACTGTTTATTTTATCTACAGTAGTGGATTAATGTAATTTCTAACACATTTGGATTGCACATAAAAAATGAAAAACACTACAGTTTACTGTTGCATTTTAATATATTTTCAAATTGCGTTTTATTAAATCACATGAAAACTCTGACTGTCTTTCACATTTATCCTTTGTAGCTTATCTTTTTGCACCTTAATTCACTCAAAATATAAATTTAGCCAAAACTGCTCCTCTATATGATTATATACTATGTAATATTGCATTTTTTATTTCAGTGTTGGTTTTTGATTTTATTTAAAGCATTTTCACCATAATCAAAGTACTAGTATTCTTAAAAAAGGATATACCCTTATCGTTGCAATCAAACTTACATCACTGTTCAAAAACTGGTGTGATTCAATAGTTTTTAACGAGTCAAAGTTGTTTTTAAGAGGATGAGTTAGAGTAACTAAGATATACTCTAGTCAATTTAAAGGCGAATTAAACCTTTAAAAAAGTTTTGAAGAAATATGTGAAATGTTACTTAGATATCGGTAACTAAGTTCCTTTGAAACCAAACTCTGGCTCGGGAATGACTTTATCAAATTAATTTGTAGGTGACGAAAATTATTCAGCGAGCATAATAACTTTGCTGGCTTTGAAAGTAATCTAATCACAAATGTTACCTTTATCCTAGTATCGCATTAATGAAAGGGTGGTTTTTATACCATAACACCTCTCAGGAAAACTAGAAATCTAAATTTCTCATTGATTTTATGAATCTAATATTCAATTATGAAATATAGTCAAGTATAGAGTGCAAATACAAATGTTGTTAAGTAGGCTACATATACAATATCTTTACCTACTGTTACTGACAAAGCGGGCTTTATTGCACTCATTATAGCACGCAAAGTAGTTGATTCATGCATTTACTTACTTTCCCGCTCTCATTTTTCTTTGTCGCACTCATTTTACTTTCCCGCACTCCAGTATTTCAACCAAGCAACACAAAATGGTTTGCTTGTATTAGGCGCACACCGGTATTTAGGCATTTTTATTTAGCCATGGGTACTGAGTATTTGTATTTAGTCATAAACGGGTGTGCTTGAAAACAAGTTGGAAAAACTGGCAAATCGATCAGCTGGTGCAGTTATTATTTGTCAATCCATTTGACCAGTGATACGACTTGAATTAATCTATAAACGTGTTGTGTGTTTACATAAACATTACAAACCGACAATTGCATTGAGGTTTTGATCCATAATTATTGTAAAATTTCATTCATATTGTTATTTGCTGATTAGTAAAACAATTTCATTTAGGTTTTGATTTTATTCACAAGATACTTTTGCT